GAGTTACCCATACTGGTGACATACGCTTCCTTGAGAAACTAGATCTTTATAATCTAATAAAGTAAAGGGACAGTCTAGAAAATCTGCCACTGCCAGTAACTTACCAGTTTTACAGTTTTATAAAGGCCTCAATCAGATCTACAATCAAGTCTTTTATAAATGCCAAAATTCACTGGTGGGTGAGGATGAGAGCAATGTTTTAATTCAGGCTTTTTAACAACCATTAGTAATGAACTGTGACTGAAATAAGTGCCATTGTTACCGTAACTCAAAGTCATGCAAAAATAATAATTTTAGTTCTTTTCTGAGAGAAAGGCTGAATATATGAGCATTTACTCTGCCTGGAAAGGACAGTGACTCACCAGAGCTGTGTGGATGGCAGTCAGTCACTCAGCCCACACCTCTGAGGCCTCCTGCGTGGAGCCTCGCTAGCAGGGAGTAATGCTGCTGGAAGTTCACTTACACTGCACTGTTACACCCCCCCATGACTTTTTATGCTTCTTGTGGCTGTTGCTGTTTTTCAGGAAGCACCAACTAATAAACTTCTCTATGCCAAGGATATACCAACCTACAAAGAGGAAGTAAAATCTTATTACAAAGCAATCAGGGATTTGCCTCCATTGTCATCTTTAGAAATGGAAGAATTCTTAACTCAGGAATCTAAGGTATGAGAGAAAGCAGAAATAAGCTTATAATTTGTTACTTAAAAGCAGTCATTTCAGAGCCTCTCAAACAAGCCTTTCTTTTAGAAACATGAAAATGAATTTAATGAAGAAGTGGCCTTGACAGAAATCTACAAATACATCGTGAAGTATTTTGATGAGGTAAGGGTTTCTTTTCTTTCTTTCTTTTTTTAATTTGCCATCTGTTTGACCCTCAAGCCCACCACAAGGACTTGGGTATATAGAGTCTTTCATCCTGAATAGGCAGAAAGGGAGGCCCCGAGCCAGACTCTGCACATGGCTGCCCCTCCTCTTGTAGTATGTCATGATGCCCACCTTTGGACCAGCCTGAATTTACATTTGAGTTCATGGGGCCTAAAGCCACAATGACTCAAGAAAACTTTGATTAGTAAATTATGGCCCTATAAAATAAGGCCAGTTTATGTTTGATTGTGGTCTGCTAAAAATGAAAACTAAGCCTGTTAAATCACCTAGATTGTTTTCCATGGTTATATGAAATCATAATATACTTCTAATTTAAGCAACTGTCAATAAACAGTGTTCTTATTCAGGCTTTTTACAACCATTAGTAGCAACTACCATTCTCCTTTATGATTAGTTCTCCTTACTCTGGATTCGTTGTTTCCAAATATATGTTAATTCCCCCTTCCCTGATTCCCCCCCACTCAGTCATGCTGGGAAAGGCTATCCATGTCAATGGTGAGAATAGCTCACCAATTCCATTTGCTACTTGAAGATCAAGTGAAGAGCCAAGGTAGGGTAGAGGCAATGAGTTCCTTAAACATGATAAGCATCCTCTCCAGGGGCCAGGGGTGAGAAGGGAAGCACTGGGGGAGGGGAGAGGAGGGAGTACACTGCCTGGGAGGGGAGGGCGGGGGGAAGAGATGGAAGAATTCATCTCTGATCAGGATGCCCTTGCCTGCTGCATTTGAGGAATACCTGCCTGCATGCTGGCTGCCCAGGGATGCTTGCTGTGCTTGGAATGGCTGTGACGTAATGCATAAAGCAGGGCCTTGGAAGTCTGGTCCCATATTTGTAAGCAAATAGTTGGTATTTCTTGCGGGCTTCTATTTCAAGCCCAAGTGTTGTTGATCCTGTGATAATGACTTAGCAAAACAACTTGCAAAGTGAGTACGGAAATGATCGAAGAAAATGCTAGCATCTGTTTCATACCACTCACAGCATCAGGAATGAAAAAAAAGAAAGAAAGAGCAAGCCCACCAGAACTGTGAATTGTAATGCTGAAATTCTAACATGTAAAATAACTGTTCTAATTGTCAACAGATTCTAAATAAACTAGAAAGAGAACGAGGGCTGGAAGAAGCTCAGAAACAACTCTTGCATGTAAAAGTCTTATTTGATGAAAAGAAGAAATGCAAGTGGATGTAAGCACCCTGGGGCCTGGCTTTATTTGACAAAGTTCTTCAGACAGCTTGGGAGCAAAATGGCTGCTTGAGCTACTCTTTGTCGTAAAATTTCTTAAGTTTGCACATGGGTTCCACTTTGAGCACTGTCTTTTAAGAGACCAAGGCACACGCACAGCTTTTAGAAAGTCTATCAATCAACCACTGTGCCTGTGGGTATACCGTGGGAACCTTTCTGTAAATAGAGCTGAAGTGGTTGTTGCAAACAGCCTCCTTGTTTACAGAGAATACAGGGCCAGTAAGCAAGTGTCAGTATTGTAACTACAGTCTCCACTTAAGCACAATGATATCTAAGTGGTTTTGTTGGGAAACTACAGCTATGTAGCACGTGTGACTACACTGTACTTCTGCAGGAGAGGGGATACTAATAATGCTCAAAATGTGAAATGAGTCATTTGGAAACAAGGTGGAGGGCGTTAGGGCAACCCTGAGGATCTGCAGCTGTCGTTCACTTTCCCCAGTAGTTCCTGGAAAGGCTGAAGGCAGAATTTGGTAGTGTCTACACTTAGCGTTCGTGAGTGTGTGTGTTTAAAACCAAAAACTAACAGTGTTGCAACATTGTTGAAAGGGCTCGTGTTTTTCAGTGGTTGCCAGCTGCGCTCATCAGCTCACCTCCATTTCATCCAAGCAGCTCTAAAGCAAGGAGAGTGGGTGGGTTTCACTGAAATGCAACAGCGTTTTTTCCAGACTCTGTCCTAGTGTGTTCCCTTATTTTCATGTATCTGGTAGTGGACATGTTGGGTATTACTAAAAAAGGAGTTCATGATTTTACTTCTGTTTGATCAGAACTGTGCGTGGGTGTGTAAGTCACTCCTGTAATCTGACATTTCTATGCTAGTGTCTCCTTGCTTTAGATTTCTGGTGAACCCTGTGGTTATAAATACTTGTGTGTGATTAAAATAAAAGATACATTTTACATTTCATCAAATTGTTGTTCACATTGGAGTATTATATATAAATATATATTTGAGGCCCAAGGCCTGGAAAATATTAGTACAACTTGGTATCTTAGTCTTACTATGTACTTTTTGAAAGTATTCCTTACAGGAGAAAGATTTAAAAATGCTCATTTTATTCGTGCCTCTTTTTTTTTTTTCAAGGAATTTCCTATCCAGTTATAATGTAGTATTTTTTATTGCTGATTTTTTTATTCCCAAATTTTTGCTGCTCATGACCAATTTTAATACCACTGTGTTTCCTTCTATTAAACAGAAGTAAAAAGTGTAATCTGACAGCTCTCTCACTTACCTTGTGGCAGGCACCTTTTACCCCAATTTAGGAAGGAATTTTCCTTCAATCAGCAAATAAAACATTGAGCACATATTCCTTAAAACCATTTACCAGCACTGTATGGACCATGTAGGATGAAACGTGAATTTGTCTTGGTAAATGCAATCCTTTTTGCTCCTTGATATCCAATAAGGTGTAAGAGAGGTAACACCTCAGCAGTTCAGATGCCACCTGGACAGGCACAGTCCCGATCCTAATCCTTGTGACTATTGTCTGTCCAATGGACACATCTCAAAACTCCTACCAAATAGTAATTTCTAAGTAGAAAGGTGAGAGGTCTGGTCCCCCATTTAAAGCTGCTACTGTCTTCAAAGAGGGGAAGGTGTTCATAGAGAAAAGCTGGAGGAGAGTTGAGAGCCAAGGGTAGAAGGCTTGCCCAACAGACTTTCCCATCTCTGGGGAGCACGAAACTCAAAGGTTGAGCCACAGCTTTAGCAAAGTATTAGTAAACGCTACCTGAGGGTGTCCCTGTCCAGCTCTCTGACAGGAGTCCTGCGTGGAGCCTTACCGCCTCTTCCAGGGGTTGGGAACCTTGGGCAAGTCACTTACCTCTTTGTGCCTCAATTTCTGTATACTCTTTCTAACCTACCTCACTGAGGTGGTATGAAGATTCACTAATGTATGTAGTGTGTTTGTCAATCCTCCAGTGGAAAGCACTATCTAGATCACACTTTGGATCACATTAGCCAAATGCAGAGAATGTCCAAATCAGATGTGTGCTGAAGACAATCAGTCACTGGGTCTATATTAAACAACAACTAAAGAAGCAAATGACAAACAGTATCTATTTTCAAGTTTCTTTGCATATTTTTGGTGCAAAACAATTAATTTATACACTTTTTTTTTCCTAACACTAGTGTCTAAAGCAGCATTTAAAAATTACTTGTGTTACCTTTTCTGTATTAGGATTTAAAGCCTATTTCTTACTGTATACCTGACTGAAGCTGTTCTTGGAGATGAATGTTTTAAATGTCTATATCCAAAAATAAACATTTTGATGTAACAACTGTGGACTGTTTGTCTTTTCTAGTTTTAATACATTTCTTAGACTAAGTGGCTCTGTGGAAATTACTTTCAGAACAAGATGTCATTGTATACTCTACATAAATGAGCAGCTCTACTACATAAGCTTAGTTCTCTGCTAAATGATGTCAAGGGCTGCTCAATTACATCCCTGTCTTCAAGGATCAACTTGCTTCTGACTGCAGACTTCTATATAATGAGAAATCCACATAAGCTTGAGCTTTGCTTTGTTGACATGAAATTATCCTCATGGAATTCCTCTAAAACATTCCACATACGGAAGCTTCTAATAGTGCACATGAAAAATGAAGTAAATAAAACATAATTATTTGATTAGATCCTAAACACTGAGAAACTAAACTAAATACCAGCAACACTCTAAGACCCATTGCTTCAAATGATGCCAACAGCTCTTTGCAGAGACTGTCACTGGACCTCATGTTCTACAACTTTCAACTCAGGGTCAAAAGAAGCAAAATCATCAACTGTTTAGTATATATCATATGATCAGTGAAAGTAAACACAAACAGCCTAGATATAAAAATATTTATTAAGTTATTTAATAAATTAAATGCACAGGTTTTAGAAAAGGTTAAGATTTCTACAATGAACACATATTTAGAAACTTTTAAGTGTTTTTTATACTTTTAAATCATCTTTTCTAAAACTTTTGGTTTACAATTTCTGTATATAATAAAAGAAATGCTTACTGATCTTGTTAATGCCAGACATCTCAAAGATGATTACCAAGGAAATAAGGATATATGCCAGAAAATATCAACAAAATAAAAATTAATGATTTGCAAACTTGATTCCTTAATTAACTAGTTCCTTTTATTTTTTGCATGGTCAAAAGACTGCCAATGCGTATTCTAAGTGTCTCTGAAACTCCAAAGACTTCATGTCTGTTAACATAAGCCTAAAGTCCTGGAACCCATGCAGTGCAGCATATAGCCAGTACCTTTTCTTGAGGCAGCTCATGGATTTTTGGCAAACAGTAATAAAGCATCTCAATGCCACGTGTTAAACTTCATGCTTTTATTGAGTTTTTGGCTTTGCCTTTCTTCTAGCATCACTCCCCAGGAGATCCAAGTTCCTCTAGTTGTTTTCTTTGTGTAGTTTCTAGTTCTTCAAGTCTTTTTCGAAGTAGAGAGAGTTCTCTTTGATGCTGTTCCTCCTTGAAAATGACACAACAGAAACCTAGAAAAACTAGGAAAGTCCCTGCCATCTGCTACTCTTACAGAAGCCATCAATAATGTGGCAGAGAAATGACATTCATTTTAGTGGTCTAAAAACTAGTCCCCCTTCTCTCCTGCCTGAGGCTCTTCACTCTTAAGCAAAACTCAGTCTATTCCTCCCTAGAAGTAAAATTTCACAGGGAGCAAATTAGTCAATGCTACTGGCAGGGCACAGGTACATATAGATGACGGCTTTCCAACAACACTGGCATGTCACGGAAATGTACTAAAAGCCACACCTGGTCTAAGAGTCTATGCAGTGACTGGAGTCTCTTATGCCTATAAAACAGTCACATCTCAGGGGCAGATACAGCAGAGCCTAGGCTCTGGAATAGGACAGTTTAGGTTTAAAAAGAGCTTAATGGTCATTTATTCAGGTAGGACCTTAGGCACACTACCACACTGCTCTGTTTCTTCATCTATGAACAGGGAATAAAAATGGTGCCTTCTCTCAAGGCATTTTTTACTAGTATTAAACAAAATATATAAAAGATGCAGTGTGTTGTACTACTAAGTTTTTGAGAGTTGTACATAATTAAGCTGTAAAACTAGGCTAGTCAAAGGCTCCCTAATCATGTTGTCTATGAACAAATATAAGAACTTACCCCCAGAACCATCACTAAAGAACAGAGTACATTTAAATCTACTAAAAAAAATTTCTATAGTAAAAAAAAAAAAAAAGTTGTTAAAACTGCCCTTTCATCAAATGAACTTTAAAACCTCTAAACTGGTAAAACATAACAATGTACAGAAATGTCTGTCTTTGTCCTAAAATGCTCATACCTGCATATGAGGGGGAAAGGAGGGTTCTACTCCAGGGACTATGGCTGATGACTGAAAGTTAGCAGGGTTGATCGAGGCTGTTGGAGGCATGTTAGGAACCAAAATTAGACTTCGAAATTCATTATGTCTTCTCTGTATGTCCTTCAGTCGCTTTTGAAGCCTTGTATATTCTTCAAATGGGACATTTTGTCTTAAAAAGAAAAAGCATTCCTGTTCTTTAATAATGAAGACGAGATAGAAATTTTAAGTGGGAGAAAGGTTCTTAAATTGTAACATCCACCTATCTAAAAATCTCTATTTCTAGAAAGATAAACAGAAAAATGACCTTTGTATCACCTCACCCACCCCACCCCCTGGAGCTGGATGGTGTGGATTCACTTTGCAGCCAGGGTGCCTTTACCTCAGGTGGGGATCAGTGTGAAACCATAGCCAGCTACTATATATGGGTCTTTTTTGTATGTGTGTGGGGGGGGGAGGTTAAGAAAGACTCTCACTATGTGGTCTTGATTGGCCCAAAATGCCCTGGATAGACCAGGCTGACACTGCTCTCACAAAGATCTCCTTGCCTCCACCTCCAGAGTGCTAGGACTGAAAGCATGTGCCACACGCTTGACCCTATATATTAAAAATAAGTAATTATTAGCACTGCAAGCTATCAACTTTTATAGATTTATTTGTCAATTAACCAAAGATTAAAAGTATCTTGGGAAAAATTTTGGTACTCTTATTTTCATTTCTACTCTCTATGAATCCTGAAAATCAAAGGAGACTCTAAACTATAAAAATAAAAACTTAAAGTTGAATTAAGCCTTATAAGACTCATTTCTTACATGAAATATAGACAAACATAAAATCATGATTCTTTATATTTGAATTTACCTAATCGTGAAACAATACAATGCAATATAATACAGCTTTGAATAAATTTGACACAATAAATATAGTATTTGGCCTCTGGCTCCCTGGCATACTACTCCTAAGACTCCTGGACACTTGGGGTTGAAGAACATCACTTGTACATGTAATAAGGAAACTCCTGACCAGGGATCTCACAGGTCATCAGGAAGAACAACCTAGGATTACAAGGTTACAACTTTCAGTCCAATCCCTGTTCTCCTCTGGAAAGGGTGAGGAACTGAAGGCGGAGTTGATCATCAGTGACCAATACTATAATCAACTTATGGGATAAGGCTGCCATAACACCCAAAAGGAAGGGCTGGGAGGAGGCTCTGCAAACATGGGAACCTCAGTCAGGACCCACAGGACTCACGACAAACAGTCCAGTAGAATCAGAATCATTGAGTGCCAGAGTCCATGTCTCAAAAACGAAGGTGGAGAGTGACTGAGGAAGACATCTTACACTGATCTCTCCCTCTCTGTCTTTCACATACATACATACCCATATACACAGGAAAAAATAGGGTTTAGGGAATTCTTAACTTTGTCAAATACATGGAGGCCTAGAAGATGGAGTACAGGGCATGAACACTGCCTCAACCACACATTTCCTTTACAACTATGCAAATGGCTGTTCATCTGTGTCCTTCACAGTATTCTTTAAAATAACTGGTAAGTCTAAGGTATTTTCCTCAGTTTTGTAAGCAACTCTAACAAATTAATAGATCTGAAGCACAGGGCCACTGGAAATCCAATATACAGCCTACAGATCAGAGGTCATAGCCTTGGCTTTATGACTGCTGTCTGAAGTGTAAGCGGTCTTGTAGGTTTGAGCCTCATCCTGTGTCAGTATCAGAACTGAACTATAGGACACTTAGTGTCCATTAGAGAACTTTGTCCAAGAACACCAGAACACAACAGAGAACACTGCTGCACAACAGGCAATCTTCATTTCTGAAAAGTCCAATTCTTCATTAAGGATCTAAGACTAACATTAATTAACAGTTCGAAAAGATTTTATCATCTTAAATCAAATGGGTCATCGATGTCACTACCACCAACCTAACCTAAACCTTCTGAGCTCAAAGGACACTAATGCCAGTGATTATAAGCTAACACCAGACTCAAAGTTTGTAACCATAATGTTCAGAACCATGCCACTGCCAGAACTTTGGTGCCTTAACAAGAGCTCACACCATTCCTATTCACAAAACCAGTTACTGTATTGAAGCCAGTGAGTGTTCATTCTTATTACTATCACCTAATACCACAAATACCTTATATGTGATAGAAACTTCTGGCTTGAAGGAATATTAAGTCAGAATGAAAAATAAAAGGTAAAAAAGAAATTTGTAAGGAATAATTGCGGGGAGTGGGGGGATCCCTGCAACTTGTTGTATAGACCAGGCTGACCTCAAACTCACAGATATCTATTTGTCTCTGAAGCCAGAGTGCTGGCCATAAATACACAATTTAAAATAAACATAAGACACAGTCTTGGGGCTGAAGAGACTGCTCAGCAGGGAAGCATACTGGCTGTTCTTCCAGAGGACCAGGGTTTAGTTCCCAGCACCCCCACATCACGGCCCACAAAAGCCTGCAACTCCAATTCCAGGGGGCCTGAAACCTTTGTTCATGTGGTGCACAAACACACAGATACACGGAAATGATGTGCTACATAACAATAGGGGCGTATGTTACATATTAACATATTACCTATTTAACATCTGGTTTTCTGTTTCTAGTTCTTCTTTCTTTGCCTCCAAGACTTCCATTTTCTCCTGCAGTCTCTTCAATTTGTTTTCATGAAGAGCTTTTCTCTAAAAAAAAAAAAAAAGAAAAAGAAAAAGAAAAAGAATGAATGAAAATTAGTATGAACAAGTATGTTAATACATAATTTCCTATTTGAGCAAAACTGTGGTTGATACTAGACCCTTTTTAAAATTTAGTATTTTCAGTGAATACCAGGGAAGAGATTAATATATGGTTTGTACTGAAACTGCAAAAGCAAGAAACCCAAATCTACCTTATATCCTCAATGTGACAAACAGAAATGTTATGAATGCCTACCAGAAACTGGAACCAATAACCCAATCATTGCAAGCAGCTCAAGAAAAGGAAGGAGGCAGACTTTACTGAATATGCCTGCCATCCACAAAGGAAGAGCATGGTCTGAAGATACAGAGTTAAACTCAGAACACAGCTTATAATTAAAAGCCTGTTTGCAACTGATAAATCACTACAAAAAGGCAAAAAAGGAGAGGATTAGAATGCTAAGATAAAGCACAAATATATCTTAGTTTAAAAGTATGTCTTTCTAAATTTAAGTAAAGAATAAATTTAACTTTGTAATATATAAAGAGAACATTTCTAAAAGTGAATACTAGGACTTTGTTAAATTAATGGAAAAGTCAGAGTATAATGCTATATGAGCTAAGGCATTTTTTTTCAGTTTTTATAGACAGGTTTTAAAAATAGAAAGATACCAATCATGTTGGAACTAATTTAGCAGCTGCAAATCTCTTAAATATGTTTCTAACTGTTTATTGAAGCATAACAAGCTTATATAAAAAAAGCACAGAATGCAAATGTAAAGCTCTATGAAAGTACACAAAGCAAAGGCCGGTTTGTCCACCTCTCAGGTCAGGAACTCTGCCAGGATAGTGTCTATACTTTTCCTTCTCATCATGACCCTCCCTCCAACATCTGAACCTTTGGAAATAAGGTAACCAACTAATTTATTTCCAAAGTTATGGTTCTACCAACATTTGGATTTCACGAATTGAAAATAGAGTGTATCCTTTCCAAATGGTGTTTTCTTCTACTCAACATGCTTGTGAGGTCATGTTATTTACTCATACCACATACTATTCTCAGTTTCTAACTACTACATTTATCATATTCACCCAGTCCACTAGGTCTTGGTGGCCCGAGGGTCACTTGGGGTACTTCTAGCTCGAGGTTAAGTGTTTCAGAAGTAACACTGTTGTGCGCATTCCCTTAGCCTTCAATACTGAACAGTATTGCCAAAGGCCTCCTCATACTCCTCTGGCATATGTACCAGGCAAGTTACATTCCTCTACCTTAACAACTGTAAACTTACTTATTTGTGGCCTGGGGAACATGGATGTCTATTCATCAATCCACCTCATTTATATAAAAGAAACGATTTGCACATATCCTCTGCATCAGATGTTTTTCTAAGCATTTATATATGTGTAGAAGCAATGTTATTGAATATTATAATAGTAAATTTTCCATTGTTATACTGTCACCCAGTGTACAAATGTGCCATAGTTTAACCATTTTTCTATTGATAAAAATTTCAATTGGTTCCAGTTTGGAAGTATTAACAAACTTTCTTGAACACACTTTTGGTAGATGTACATACTCAATCTCGATAAATACCCAGGCCATGGAATATTCATATTTTAGCCTTAATATATCCTGCCACTTTTCTAAAATTATTCTACCAATTATACACCCACCGGCTTAACATGAGAGTTCTAGCAGGTCTACATTCTTGCCAATATTCATTATAGTCAGTCACTTAAGTTTTAGCTATTCTGGTACAATATATTAAAGTCTTACTGTAAAAGTTTCTAATTTTCCTGGTAGTTATCTAAAAATGTTTAATATCTTTTCTTATCCTGTCAGCCATCTGTATTTTTTTGGTATGCTGTTTGTACACATGTGTGTATTTGCTCTAGTTTTGCTCAATTAAAAAAAAGTTTGTTTTTGAGTAATCTGATTCAGATGAATTTCAAGGCGCTCTTTAAATATTCAGGCTATGAACCCTTTTGTAAATGAACATATTACAGATTCACATCTCAACCTCTCATAGAATTTTCTTTTCATTTTGAAATTTTTTACTTACTTTTGTATGTATGAGTGCTTTGCCTGCATGTCTATCTGTGCACCGTGTGTACACTTGGTGCTAACAAAAGCCCTGAGAAGGTATTGGATTCCCCCAGGACTGGGGAAACAGACAACTGTGAACTGTCAGGTCGGTGCTGGGAATTGAACCCAGAACCTTTCTGGAAAGACACCCAGTACTCTTAAACAACTGACTCATCTACTCAACCCCTATTATAAATTAATTTTCTTTTTTACAAAAAAAAAAAAAAACCACCTTTTTAGAAAAAGTTTACGTTCAAATTGTCAATGATACCTTTCATACTTACTACTTTCTGTGCCCTATTAAGAAACTTTTATTTATCCCAACAGTCTATGGTTTTCTTCCATGCTTTAAAAAAAAAAAAAAAACAAAAAACTAGCTATGTTTACTTTCACCTTTCATCACTTGTAGGTATGTGAATCCTTTTACCCATGTTACAGTGTTGAGTGAGGGACAATCAACGGAAACGGTGCCCTCAAAAGATTCTCTGGATCTTGAGGAAGCGCAATTCCTAGCTGTCTGAGGAAGCGCCAGATTGATTTCCAGAGTGATTGTACAAATTTACATTCCCACCAGCAGTGGAGGAGGGTTCCCCTTTCTCCACATCCTCTTCAGCATGTGTTGTCACTTGAGTTTTTGATCTTAGCCATTCTGATGGGTGTAAGGTGAAATATTAGGGTCGTTTTGATTTGCATTTCCCTGATAACTAAGCACGTTGAACATTTCTTTAAGTGTTTCTCTGCCGTTCAATATTCCTCTATTGAGAATTCTCTGTTTAGCTCTGTTCAGGTATACCACTCCTAGGCATATACCTAAAAGAGGCTCAAGTACACAATAAGGACATTAGCTCAACCATGTTTGTAGCAGCTTTATTTGTAATAGCCAGAACCTGGAAACAACCCAGAAGTTCCACAACAGAGGAATGGATACAGAATTGTGGTACATCTACACAATGGAATATTACTCAGCAATGAAAAATAAGGAAATCATGAAATTTGCAGGTAAATGGCGGGAACTGGAAAAGATCATCTTGAGTGAGCTATCCCAGAAGCAGAAAGATACACATAGTATATACTCACTCAAATAGACATATAATATAGGATAAACCTACTAAAATCTATACACCTAAAGAAACTAATCAAGAGGGAGGACTCTTGCTAAAATGCTCAGTCCCTACCCAGAAAGGCAAAGAGGATGGAAATCAGAAGACAGAGAAAACAGGAAACAAGTCAGGAGCTTGACACAGAGGACCTCTGAAAGGCTCTGCCCTGCAGACTATCAAAGCAGATGCTGAGACTTATGGCCAAACTTTGGGCAGAGTGCAGGGAATCTTAGGAAAGAAGTGGGAACAGTAAGATCTGGAGAGGACAGGAACGCCACAAGGAGAGCAACAGAACCAAAAATTCTGAGCACAGGGGTCTTTCCTGAGACTGATACTCCAACCAAGGACCATGCATGGAGATAACCTAGGACCCCTGCACAGATGTAGCCCATGGCAGTTCAGTGTCCAAGTGGGTTCCACAGTAATGGGAACAGGGACTGTCTCATCTCAGACATGAACTGATTGGCCTGCTCTTTGATCACCTCCCCCTGAGGGGGGAGCAGCCTTACCAGGCCACAGAAGAAGACAATGCAGCCACTCCTGATTAGACCTGGTAGACTAGGGTCAGAAGGAAGGGGAGGAGGGCCTCCCCCATCAGTGGACTTGGGGAGGGGAATGCATGCAGAGGGGGGAGGTAAGGGGGGGTTGGGACGGGAGGAGGGAGAGAACCACAGGGGGGATACAAAGTGAATAAATAATTAATAAAGAATTTTAAAAAAAGATTCTCTGGACTGAAATGCAGCAGTGGTGGCCTTTGTAGCAAGCTCTTGCATGCTTCATTTTTCTTCTTGATTGCCTTGGTTATTTTACTTATTTCAACACTATATAAACTTTACAGTTTATTTTTACAAAGAAATGCCCAAGATTGTGATTATACTTAATTTCTAGATCTACTTGGGAATAAATGGTTTAAAAATGAATTTTCCAAAGCACGAACATGATATAGTATTCTTTAATCATTCTTTGAATTTTTCTGAGCAGTTTGTGGATTTAAATATAGATGTTTTAAGTATCATTAGATTCATGCTATTGTAAATGATACTTAAATATTTCATTTTCCAATTGTGCACAAGATAACTGGTTTGTTGCTTGACTTTTTAGCCACAAACTGTTAATATTCACATATTTTAGATTGGGTGTGGTGGCACATCTTTAATTCTAGGACTCAGGAGGTCGAGGCAAGTGGACCACTGTGAGTGTGAGGGCAGCCAGGGATACATAAGGAAGACGGCCTCAAAAATAATTAGATAGATAGATAGATAGATAGATAGATAGATAGATAGATAGATAGATAGAT